CCCATGATTTAACAGTTTGGTAGGAAGCATCGTTTATTTCTGCCTCTTGCCAAGCTTCCTCCTCTCTGTAATCAGTTTATACAGTCAGTGTGCTTGGCCTATCTTTTAGATTACCCCAAATATCTGTTTCCTTGCTGCGTCTGCCGTCTAATCTCCCTTCCTTTGCTGGCTGTCATTCTTCACTCTCTTTGATGTGTTCCTCTTACAGATTTAAACTCAGAGCTCTGTGCTCTTTATATAATATTGGAGCTAGCAGTTGAGAGCGGACCCACAGAGCCCCTAATTTCTATGAGTCTGCAATTATCACATTATCTCAGAAAAGCTGGACAGCTGCCCCCTTCCATCCGCTTACCTGGGACTTGCGGATGCTCCGTATGTTGAAAAGCACCCACTAATACTTAAATATGGATTTTGGCCTCCAGATTTTAAAACTCCACCTCTGTCTTAAATTGACGCAGACTAAACTGTACCATGGGCTCCTATTTAACAGACCAAGCTAAGGACCTGGCTCCGGCAGCCTGAAGGGCAGCATATTGACAGGGCTGAAAAGCGAGTGGGGAAGTTAAATCCCAGCTGTCTCTGCGACTTGGCATTTCATTTTGTACCAGGCCCTTAAATCTGCTGGGTCAAATTTCTCATAAAATCATAGAAAATGAATTTTGGAAGGGACCTCAGGAAGTCACATATAATCCAACCCCCTGCTCAAGGCAGGACCATCTCCACTCACATGTGTGGCTGTCCTTTACCTACTTCGAGTTACTGATGGTTCGTTGCTTTGAACAGGAAAAGTAGCGGCGGGGTTGTTCCTTCTTACGCTGTTTTAAGGTTGAATTAATACTCTGTCGATAGCGTAGAGTCTTGCATGAAGGGTAGAGAAAGAAGCAAAACAGAATGACTTCAGGATGTGTGCAGTTTAAATATCCCAGCCCCCCTCTGACTCTGTTTTAATTTTCTCTTGGATGGATTTTTTTTTTCTCTGTCTTGACACCAAATGCGTTTTATTTTCCAAAAAGACCGGAGTGACTGTTTCCAAGCTGTTCAGATCTTTCTGGCAAAGCCTACAAAACTCTCGTGCTTTGAGAACATAATTCGCACCAGATCCTTTGGAACAATGGCCAAGAAGCGGATACGTGTACAGAAAAGCACTTCTTAGAGACATTTTAAAGCACTTTTCAAGTAACCGATGGACACAATCTATTTCTGCTATTTCAGTTTAACAGGTGTATATTATATTGGCTGTCCAAAGGTCCTAGTAACTTATCTAGGCCCTTGGGTGTGTATGTTCTGAATTGCTAGCCGCACAAAATGAACATCAAAAGAACTTGTTGGAAAGGCTCTGCAACATCGCTAGTCTTTTAATTCAGATTTATACATGAAAATACCACAAATTCCTTGCCTATGTCTTGGGTGAAGGTTGCACAGCTTTAAGAAACGAAGAAAATAAGCCAAAAAGAGAAGAAAATATCATTACCTTTGTGCACCCTTTCCATCACTTTTCAGCGACAGCCTTAAGTTGCTAGAGGGCAAGACCTGTTGTCTCACAGGTTTGTGAAGTGCCAAGGAAAAATAATAATAATATTTGTTCGGTTTTGAAGTAGAACATTAGAAGCGCAAAACATCTGAAATGTATAAATCTTATTTCCTGCTGCTAAGAAAACGACCCATCAGGCAGACTTAAGCGTTGAGCAAAGACATGAGATGCCAAGTGCCTTTCTTCCTGCACATGTGCAGTTCAGCCTGCTTTCTTCTGAACCCAAAAGCGCTGAAAAATGGGCCGGCTTGCACTGCACATGCCCAAAATGCAATTTTATGGGATTAGAGCTTGACCAAATCAAAACCAGTCTCCGCCGGCACATGCAAAAGCTGTTCTCAGAGGACTGCTCTCCCGACACATTGCAATTCTGAATCTTGGTTCTTTTGGCATCCGAGCTGTTTAGACAAGCAAACAGAAAAAGCCTTTTTTTAACTCGTTCCCAGAACGGCCCAAGCTGAACTATTTCAGCTTGAGCTTTCAAAAGGAAACACGTCTCCCGGTCAAGGAGACGGGAGAAATGCCAGCCTGGCAAGGCGAGGTCTTCAAAAGCTCGGAGTGACAACCTAAGCTCGGAGCAGACCTTCTTAGGCTCTCTTAAACGCAATTATTTTTCCTGAAGCATTGGCGACATCTACATTTGTCAACTGCATGGGATGTTCAGTTGGGAAGGTCGTTAGCACAAGCAGTTTTTTTATTGAGTGCAATGCACTTCAGATCTCGTTCTCCCCGGACGTTTGCCAAGAGCTCACAATAGCATTTTTCATGGTTAGCTGAAATTTGTACAGCGCCAATGAACAATTCTGTGTTTTAATTGTTGCTTAAGTGTCCAGTGTTGGGAACTCACTAGCACGAAAATGTCACGGATTGCGTGTGTCCGTGCACAGGCGCGCTTTGTCTTCTGTCCAATGAGCTATTTCTGGCAGCTTTATCCTTCAGCCCTTGCTTGGTTCGAGGTCAGACGATGAAGTGCTCGGACTTTGCACGGACATTCGTGATTGTAGTGCAGAAGGGTGAAAAATCAGAATGGGGAGCAATCGGCTTTGGGCTTCTTTCATTTATTATCCACCTTTTTCTCATTGAAACTTGTCCACCAAACTTGGCGGCAGCCTGCCTTTGAACTGGTTTGTTTATGCATGTTCTAAATATCGCATTTAAACCCTGTCAAAATACCCAAGCTGGCTTTTTACTGAAAGAAATTCAGCTTCTGTTGCTTCTGTTCCCGACTTGCTGTCAGTTGTCATTGGAAGTCTAGGTCTGCTGCCTCTTCTTGAGGCTTTGTGTATTTAGGTTAATTCATCTTTGTTTCAGATATAACCCTTTTGTGTAGCTTTGAGTAGGAAATACTCTTGATTTGTGTTTTGTGGAATGACCGTCTTTAGCCCTGGGCCATTTTAGAGGCAGTCTGTGGGGATATACGTGAAAAGGGACATGTTTCCAAGTGTGAAGGATGCAAGATTATAAGCAAAGACAAGATTATAAGTGAAGACTCCCCAAACTGCTGTCGGAGTGCCACTTGTGGAGGCCTGACGCCGCTTCTCTATGCGAATTCAGCAAGGGAGCTTCACCGAAGTAACTGGTTGCAGTCGTGGGGAGGTATGCAGCTGACTCGGGCACTTATTGTTTCAGCGCTGGAGTCAGCCTAGTAGTCTCGACCCTGTTAGATGCCAAGAACCCCTCAAAAAATGCCAGTTCTTAGTTTTCACTTCTCTTTTTTTTTTGATTACAGAAAAACACTAGAGCAGTTCTGCTGCTGCGAAGAGCTCAGCACATCTGCAGCAGGTCAGCAGGCTTTTAACGCCGTGAACTCCTGTTTGAAATCTCTGTTCTGACCTTGTGAATCATGTTGGCACACCTAGCCATGCTAACGTTGCGTGGCACCCCGCAGCACCCTTGAAAGGATCTTACACTTGACTATCACTGGTCTGGTAGACCAGTGCTCAGCCGTGCTCTCACCTTCCCCTTGTGCCACGTTCCAGCGGGGTCGTGGTCCCGTTCGTGCAGGGCGTACTTCCTGTTGATGGGAGAGCAGAGCCATCTCGACACCTTATTCCACGATGACCCTAATCTTGTTGTTGGGAATCTCTTCTCTGGGCTCCCAGGGTGCCCTGTTGTCACATGGAGGATCTTTTTGTCTTCAGGCTGCTGACAGCGCGTGCATCAAAGTGAAGCCAGGCCCAAGTATCACAGGCCCCGGATTCATCCGGAGCTGTCATGTGTTCCCACTGAGATCCCAATGCAGTCATGACTGCTGTCAGATCTCACAAGCCCTTTGTTTCTTTAACTCTGGCAGTCATCCCCCCAGGAGGCTGCAGTGCAGATGTACTTGCCTTTTCTTAACCCAGCAGTGAGTTAAGCTAAATGGGAAAGGCCCCCCGCTTGTTCTCCAAGCAGCAAGTCCCCACTCCTGGAGTTATTTGGGAATATCCGACTTGCGTAACCCCACGCGTAGATAAGTCCTCATTCAAAGAAGACTTTTCCAGCAAAGCAGTTCTCGAATGTGTTGTAAACAGCACTGTGCTACCACGGTTCTCAGTCCTGAAAAGGAGGAAACCAGTCCAGCTGGAGAGGAGAGAGTGTTTGAGGAAGAAAACATCCATGACTGCAGTTGCTTGCTGTATTGTCCAAATGCTGCAGGCAGGATGGGATTCTACTATGCAGGGCACGTGAAGCCATGAGCCAGAAGTGCTTATAGTCTTTCTGACAACTGTGTGCCCCTGCTGTCGGAAG